TTCATAAAAACCCAGTGTATTGAATCCGTTAACGTTTTCTTGTACTATTTTTGGCTCTTTTACATCTCTTTTTTTCCGTTTTATAATTTTCCTTCACCCCGCTTGATTGATTTAGCAAGGCAGCACTGACCCGCAGCAACAGGACATCCAACGGAGGGTTGCCACCACCACCACCACCACAACCACCAGCACCACCACTCAAGGGTTCCCAGTGCACCTGCCTGCCCGCCGGCCAGGGCGAGGGCAGAGCCCCGTCAGAATATGGATAATGGAATTCCGAGCGGCATGCGATCGACACTCACTCACCCTCTCGACTCTCCAGTTCCGACCCCTGGACCCCTTGGACATGGCATTACCCTCGGGAAGCCACTCTGCCTGCCCAGTGGCAGTGCGCGATCTTGTCCGTTGATCTTTTTGGTGCATTGGCTAAGTTAATTGGTTGTAAAACAATTTTTCGAATTAACATAAAAATGTTTCATTGGAAAAAATATTTATACGACGGGAGAGAGAGTCTAGAGTGGAGTAGAGTACTGGCTCTTGGAGGGGCAATTAACCATCGGTCCTCGCCTGGGATCGCTTTTGTTTGCGGTTCCCGATCGCGCCCGCATATAGTACATATCTGGTATATACATATATCGGGGGAGTTTGGCGGAAATATAGATAAAACGCATGATGTATGGGGGTGGAGAAGTTGAAATAATAATTATTGTGTATTTTCATATCGCTTGTAAGGTTAAAATATCGATATTATAGATTTTATTGAAAAATATTCCAATAATAAATATTATGAATGACGATAAAACAAATAAAGCATTAATTATCGATGCAATATCGATACAAAATCGATTCATTATCGATTTAATATCGATTTAGAGCCGATATAAAGATATTTTTTACCAACTACTACCTGATACCATTACTGAATTCCCACTTTTAACATTCGATGGATAATGAGCACCCAAAAAAAAAGTCGCTCGACCATATTACACAAAAGTCATTGCCTTTGTTATCGTCATCGGAATCGTTTTTTTTTTTTTTTAGAATTGCAATCGTCATTGTCATTGGCAGCGCTAATGTGCGATGTGTGAGATGCAATGTACCGCAACTGACGAACTGACGGACTGCGGATGGAACAGGAAAACAAGAAAGTCAACACCGAATCAGACAATTGAATTGTTGACTCTTTTGTTCTACTACCGCTCCAACCCCCACCCCTATCCACACCCCCATATATGTACATATATAGAGCTGGGTAGTGGAAATGGAAGTGGAAATGGAAATGTAAGTGGAAATGGGATGGGGGACAGCAGCAGCAGAAGCAGCACCCGCAAGACCATTCAACCATGAGCTGGCCACAAAATGCAAATTGAATGAAATGGGCAAAGTATGCACTTGGTGAAAAATATAATATGGGATATAGTTTTATAAATTGGTTACGAGTATCGATAAGAGACTGTAGAAATCGATAAATAAGCGATAAGTCTCTAAGTTTAATAATAATTTTGATAAATATAGATTCATTCCTTACTTTCCTTCTTTACTTTCAATCTAAGCAATATTTAGCTTTAAATAAAATTTCGATATAACATCAATTAATCAATTTTCGATTTAATATCGAGCGCATTCGATTAACAACAGCTTAACAGCTTCTGTCAGAGTTAAAAATCGTTTTAAAAAAGTTTGATAAATATAAAAATATAAGAAATAGTATAGACGATGATCCAGAAATTAAGGTTTTGTTTGGTTTCATTTCTTTTCTTTTGTAATACATTTTTTACAGTGCACACCGAGTCGCGCAAAATAAAGACAATGGGAAGGCGACTTTTATTGGTTCCATTCGATGATCAGAGCGCGAATGGAAAGGCCGCCAGTTTGCGGCGTACTTAGTGACACCATTAACGCCACCAGCAGCAGCAGCAGCCAGTGTGTGTACTCTTAACCCCCGTCCAGCTTAACCCATGCCGCCGCCTGGTAGCAGTTTGCCAACAACACATCCACATCCGGCGTGCGCGCATGCGCAGTCCCTCGACCGTCGCCCCGTGGCCCGTCGTCTGTTTGATTGATTTTGTTCCACATTGCAAAGGGTTTCTTCTCGCTTTTCAGGCCTTTCTCTCCTTTACTTTTTGTTGTTGTATATTTTGTTGTACTTTTTATTGTTGAATGTTTATTGCAATCGGTGTGAAATTTCACACCGCAATGCTTAAATGATTCCCGGTCGCCGCCGCCGTTCGCTTTCCGTCTCTCAGCTCTCGTCGGTTTTCTTTTATTTTGTATTTTTTTTTATTTTTTATTTTACTTGGTTTTCGTGGGTTAAAAAGTGCGGAAGAAGAAGGTCTGTGAACTAAAAGGGAATTATGTAATAATAATAGAAATAAAATACAAATAAAGTGAAAATAGTATATAATATTAAATCAAATATAAATATAAAAATATAAAATATAAACGTAAAATATAAAACATCAAAAATATCAAGCAATAAGTTAAGTTAAGTTAGACAAAAAAACAAAAGGAATAATTGTAGAAATAATTTCCTAAAAATCTATATTAAATCTAAATTAATTTAAAATATTTATGATTATTTTGTTTCATTTTAATATATTTATAATAAATATAAATAAAATTAACTACCTAAACTTACATGTAAGAAATGAAATAAAAAGATTTTAAAATTTAATTAAAAAGAAATTAAAACAAGGACACTGTCTATTTTTCTGTCATGAAAGAAATCTATTTATTTAACAAGAATATTATTTTAATTTATTTTTATATATTTATAAAAACAAAGAAAAAGAAATATCTTACTAATCGTATTATTAATATTATTAAAAAAATATTAAATCAACGACGTTCTGTGGCTTTTCCACTTGGAAGAAAGATAATTATTTAATTTTAATTATTATTATAATTTATGTGTAATATATTTATATTAAAAAAATATATAAAAATATCTTACTAATCTTAAAATTTACAATTAAAACAAGGACCTTCTGTGGCTTTCCCTACATGAATTTCCCGACCTTTATTTCCCTCGACCAACAGGTAAGTGTGTGTTTAGTGTTGTACCTCTGTGTGTGTATATTTCGATAGGTTCCTGGTAGTGTAATTGCGCAGCCCTTCAAGTGCCACCCCATACCATTTGCCCTTGGAAATGCAGCAACTCTGCCACAGGCACAGCCACAGCCAACTGCAAGTTGCAACAATTGGCGTCACGCTCCGGCGGCGTACAGAGGGGGAACCCCAGGAGGAGCAACCACCAAAGCCATAGGGCTGATTGAAAGATTATTTTGCACTGATAACGCTAAAAACGTATGGATGGATGGATGGATGGATGGATGGCTGGAACCACCACCAAAGTGCAAACAAAACAAGACTCAAATAGAGCGAGGAGGAGCCATCAAAAAAAAAAAAAAAAACCAAAAAACGCAGCACAGACACAGAAATTGCTATTCGAAAATTGTTGCGCTTTTGGGTTTGCGTGTTTGCATTTTTATTTTCCTTTTTTTTTTTTTTTGTATTTTTGCATTCATTGTCCACAAGCATTTCCCACAGACCAGCGACCATCATCATCATTAATAATATTGAAAAGCCCTAATTACGGTTAAGTGGCCCAAACGAGCGGGATCCCCCTCTCTCCTTCCGTATTGAACTTTGCCAAGGGTTTTCTCTGGCTTTTAGTTTTTTTTTTTTTTTTGTGGGTTCCCTAACCTCTGAACCTCCACTGAAGCGGATCATCATCATCAGGAAGAGAGAGACTCCGACTCCGACTCCGACTCCGCGTGTAAATCATTTTTCCCAACCCTCTAAAAACACGAGGGAACCTCCACCTGCCCAAGGTGCAGGCAGGGTAATGCAGGTGCATCGTATCGCCTCGACTCGGTTTGGTTCCTGACCTACGACGACCCTCCGGTTACCGTTCTCGTTCTTCCCTTTCTCGCCTTAATGAAATCATTTATAATTTTTCCTTCCTTCCCCTGTTGTCTTTGTTTTGCGGTCTCCAGACATCGTTGGCTGCTTTTCATCTTGGCCCAGCAGGTTACTACCTGTAACTTCTTTCCCGTTTGACTTTTGTGTTTTCCCAACACACACGCTTCATTGCCCATTTCGGAGCCCATTGATATGGGCAAGGAGCAGGAGGGGTCACTTGTCCCTGGTCCTTTAGCACGTGGCTACCGATCGTTGATCGTTGATCGCGGTGGTGGGGCACCTGCTTGGCTTTCAGCTGTCTCTAATGATGGCCAAGAAATAAATGTCCATGTCCCCTTAAGGATGGATAATCGAAATGATGATTTAACAGAGAGACAAAGACAGAAAGAGGAAGGGAAGGGGAGCAGGAAAGAGGGAGAAAGAGAGAGGGAGAGTTATTTATGTACAATTCAAAATTTAAAATATTTTAAATTCAAGCTTTTTTACGTATTTAAAAGTGAAGGCAGTCATTTCCGACCCTATAAATCATATATATTCTTGATCAGCATCAACAGCCGAATCAATTTAGCCATGTCAGGAGGAAAACAAATTTCAAAAATTAAAAAAAAATTAAATTTTAAAAAGCCTTAAAATGCAGATGCAGATTAAAAAAAAAATTTAAAAAAAAAAAACCAAATATGTAAAATAATTAAATTGAAATAAATTTTTAATTTAAAAATATTTTAAAATTTAATTATAGTTTTTTTTTTAAAAATATAAGAAAAAAATTATAAAAAATGTAAAATAATTGAATTAAATTTTATTTTAGTTTAAATTTTAAATTTTTGTTACTTTTCAGTAAGTATAAATAATATATAATATATTATTCTTATAAACAATACAAAAAAATATTTAAAAATTTAAAATATTTTTATTAAAATTTTTAAATTTTAATTCTAACATTTAGTCATTCTTCAGTCAGTATAAATAATATATTATTCCTCTAAATAATAAAAAATATATTTAAAAATGTAAAATAATTTAAACTCATCCAAAAACCCCAGCACTCTGTCCCTTTTCAGTCACTCCCCCCACGTCCCAACAGCCTTTCCAACTCCCCACATCGCATTGCCATTCGAATCTATGTATCTTCTTATGCTAAGATTTTCATTTTCATTTTCACAGCAGAATTCAAAGCCCCCAGACACCGTTCGAAAGTAAGACAAAGTCAAAACACCAAAAAATATTGAAAACTTTGAAACAAAATTGGTAAAAAGAGGCTAAGGAATATCTATGCTCCGTTCGCTATCCTTTCGGCTTGCATTTAAATTAGAAGTTCGTCATTAACCGGGTCCAGACATGCCACCGTCTCGATCCTCAGTCCCCATCCAAGGTCACACCCACTTCCAGTCGCCTCCCAGGCCCGTGATGGACGGACGGAAGTTGCAGAATATCTGGACGATGCGACCGCTGGAAGGCACTGGCGGCGCCTTGAAGGCTTTGGCCAAGAATGTGGCCCAGCACATGAATCTCAACCGGAGCACCCTGAAACGGGTGGTGGCCCAGGTGGTGGCTGAGCATCACAATCTGGGCCAGGTGGATGACTACAAGGGCCACATGTACTTTGCCAAGCCGGAGCGTCTCAATTTTTTGAACCTTCTGGCCCAGTCCAAGGAGGCACTCGATGACCTGCTGCTCTTGGATCCGCGACTGGCCAAGAAGTTTCAGCGCAGGGATCACCTGAAGAAGCTACTGAAGCCGCCGAGGGTAAGCTCCCTATTCAAGATCAAAGACAGGTCCAGATCCGGGTCCTTGTCCAAGTCCAAATCCAGGCTAGTGGTTTCCGCAAAGCTGCCAGCTCCAGCGATCGCTCATCAGCCTGGCAAAGGCAGCTCCTCCCTCAAGCTGGTCAAGAAGTCCGCCTGCAAGCCTGTCCAGGCTTTGAAGAAGGCCTCACCGAAGAGCCAGCAGCAGGTGGGAAAGGAGGCGATACTGGAGCAGCGAACGGTATCGGGTTCCCTCTTCCGTTCCCGCTCCGGCTCTCCCAGAAGATCCCCTCAAACCCAGTTAACCAGCACCAATCATCAGCGCCTGCCGGCGGGTTCAACTAGAAGAACAGCTGGCAGCTCCAAGAAGCCAAAGGCGGCTGCCATCTTGCCCCAGATCAAGTCCAAGTCCAAGGTGAAGACCGTAGGCAAAGACAAGATGCCAGCAAAAACCAAGACAAACAAAACAAAAACCAAGTCCTCCAATCAGGCTGAAAGGGATGCAGTTTCGGTTACAGAACCAGAACCCCCGGAAAGCCATTTGAGGACCAAATCAAAATCCCATTCCCGCTCCCGTTCCCGCTCCCGCTCTCGTTCCCACTGCCGCCTGCCGTCGGCCTCACCCTCACCCTCCTCGGTGACGGCCACCACTGGGAAATCGCGCCGATCTCCCAGGCGGCAGCAGGACAAGGGTGTAACAGCCAAGGCCTTGACCAAGGCTTTAACCAAGGCTTTGGTCAAGCCCTGTCCACAAAACAAAATCCGAACCAAGGCCAAGCCGCGGGAAAAGACAAGGCAGCCGCCGCCGGCATTGCCGCCATACCGAAACTATGACAAACCCTGGCTGGTGTCCAGGGCCAAGCGACGACGCCTGGTGGCCGGCAGCCTGGAGCAGCAACAGCAGATCAACAAGTCGGAGTCGGTGGTGATGCGGAAGCCCCGCTCTCATGTGGGCCGTCAAATGCGCAACGTGAACTTTCCCTGGTATACGCCCTATCAGTTCCAAGGAGGAGCCGGTGCCACCCAGCAGCCCAGTCCACGCAGCTCCTCGGTTCCACTGATGGCCAGACTTGGCCCAAATCTCACGTGTCGCCAGCGACACCATCGCATGTTGGCGGAACGTAAGAAGCGGGATATAAAGCGCGAGGAGCCCATCGATAACATGCTGAGCTATGGCTCTGGTTTGTTTCGTCGCCATCGGGGTGAATGGATGCCGGCCAGGAAGTCGTCCTCCAGGGAGATGCAGAAAGCCACCAGAATCACTAGATCTTCTTCGCTGCAAAGACCAAGGGAGGTCAGGCGGGAGAGGTCCTCAACCAAGGTGGAGAAGCCACAGAAGCCACAAAAGCCACAGAAGCCAGTGAAACCAGTGAAGCCATCGCCCGAGGTGGCCGACCAGCTGCCACCGCCACCACCCTCGGCCGTCAGCTCCGATGATCGGGTTCGTCCCCATCGCAAGGCACGTGACCATAAGCAGAAGCAGCAGCAGCAGCACCTGGACAGCAGCCTGGGCAGCTATGCTGATCTCTTCCAGCCATCGGACTCCAAGGAGGCCCTGAAGCGGGCCAAGCGTCGTCTGAGCATTGCCTTCAAGCAGACCAAGGGCAGTGCCCGTCGTCATCGTCCGGTGAATCCTGTCTGGAAGTAGGACCACATGGAGCTTGCTGGCACAGGAGACGGATCCCCCTCCTGGAACCTTCTCCAATTTTACTATCTTTTGTCCAGTTTGTTAATTGAAGCTTAATAAATTCCAAACTTGGGACAATGAGTCTGCAAGGGGTTTTTAGATATTTAAAAATTGGGGAATTAATTATTAAATGAATTAATTAAGTTTATAATTTAATTAATTCTATTTTTAAATTGTTCTTTTAACTCGAAACCTAAGAAATGTATTATTTTTGGATATATTTTAAAGACGTTTCTTAAAGTAAAATTATTTATGAGAGTCTAAACAAGTCGAAACTCTATTAAAGCCTTGAAAAATACTCGTTTTATTTGCATTATATTTTAAAATATATTTTAAACTTCATTTTAAATATATTTAAAAAATATTTTTCCGAAATTTCCATACTTCTTAAACACTTTAAACTCTTTAGAGAATATTTTTAAAGGTAAAACTCCTTGAAAGCTAATAACAGGTGAGCTCCTTGGCAGTGGCTGAAATCAAAACCCACTTCCGCCCAAAAGAAGGGTTTCAGGGTCAACCAATCAAGACCCTTAAGCTGGCGCTTAACCCCGTGTCAAATGTCCTTAACCAATATCAATATAAAAGCGCGAAAGGAATTTCGGAAACTGAAAACTGGCAAAAGCCAAAAACTTGGGGGAAACCCTTTGGGTTTGTCTTTAAGCCAGTCACCCTCGCTCCCCTGCCTGCCTTGTTATGTCAAATATTTTTTCATGCATGCAACAAAATTCCCCTGGGGAGACCAGAGGAGTCAGTCGATGAGCTCAACATAAGATATACAGCAAATAAACAGAACAAAAATATTCAAAAACAAAAAATACAAACATAAAATATAGAAAAAAAAAAAGACAAAAATAAGGACAAAAAAATAAAGACAAAAAAATAAAGACAACAAATTAAAACCAAAAAAATAGAGATACAAAATAAATAAAAACAATAAAATAAAAAAATTAAGACAAAAATAAAGACAAAAAATAAAAACCAAAAAATAGAGATAAAAAATAAATACAAAAAAATAAAAACAAAAAGTAAAGACAAAAAAATAAAGCCAAAAAAATTAAGACAAAAATAAAGACAAAAAATAAAGACAAAAATTAAAGACAAAAATTAAAGAAAAAAAATAAAAGTTAAAAATTAAGGCAAAAAAATAAAGACAAAAAATAAAGACAAAAAAATGCCAAAAAATAAATATAATAAATAAAGACAAAAAAATACAACAAAAATTAAAGACAAAAAATTACAACAAAAAATATATACAACAAAATTACAACAAAAAATATATAACAAAAAAAAAAAAGAGAGGAAGACAAGGACGAAGACAAGGCCCATAATTTAAGTCGCTAAAGTTTTGCGCCTTTTGTTCGGCGGGCCAAAAGTTATTGAAAATCGTGCAAAAGGGGTTGAGAGCGAGGGGAGGGAGAGCGCGTTAGGGGTAGGGTTGTGGGTCCTGGAAAGGACGAAAGGAACGAAAGGGTTCGAAATTGAAAAAAAGAAAGCGAATGTCAGGTGGCGGCGGCGGCGGCGGCTTCTCTGGCGGTTGTCTGGGATCGTTGGTGTGGGTGATTTAGTGTTAAATAAAAACTTTTAAATTGCCATTTGATCGTTTGTTTAGCGACAATAATGTCGTCGTTTTCGTTGTCGTTGTCGTTCCAGAGGTCCTGCCACACAGTGCCTTCTTCGTGTGCCTTCAAATTGAATGTGCGCCCGGGTCCTGTGACAGAACGAAAAAATATATATATTTCGAACGGGGTGAGGGCGTTGTGACAATGACATTGTTTCGCTGACAGTTGTAGCAAATTTATTGAAAAGGTGTTTCCCCCCAGCCATATATATATCGAAATTTCTTCATTCCTTTTTCTCCAAGGACTCGACAAATTTATTGATATGTTGAAATTGCTTCTTTTGCCATAAAAAACTTTGACAGCTTCATTTTTTTCGTTTCCTTCCCCGCTTCATTGTTGTAAATTTGACAGCAATTGTTTTGTTTGACAGTTTGTCGTCTCTGGCAAAATGATGATGTCAATATGCAAAGCAGTTCTGCGAGGGCGTCGTGGTATCCGCATCCCGAATCCCAATCAAAGGGGTTCTTCTCTCCGTTCGACTGAATGACATGAATGAGTGACTGGAATGACTCGTTCTCTGAATGGGGTTATTGGTGAGCTGACAGCGGGCGTTGATGGGCTGCAGAAGGTTTTTGCATAACTTTCATGGTCTTTTTTTTTTTATATATATAAGAATGGGAACGGAATTTCTAGACATTATGGGGTATTTACGGATATTTATGAATTAATACAGTCGAGGAAGGGGAAATAAAGTGGGTAGATTTCCGGTGGAGAGTCAAAGTTTATGTGTTTTTTGGGATTTTATTATTGTTTTTGAATTTTAAAATATATTTTTGATAATATTTTATTTACAAAAACTAATTTAATAATTTAATAAATATATTTTATTTATTTTTTTATTATTTTAAGTAAATTTTTTAATTTTGTTTATTTAAAAAAAATTATTAAATAATCTTTTTGTGGCTTTTTAGTTGCCATGTCACGGTCGCCAATGAACTTCACACTATTTGCCATTGAACTTGGCCCAAGTCAAGACTAGCCTGCAATTTGAGTCTCTCAATTCCACCATTTTCCCGGCCACATTTCCACAATATTTATGTATGAGCCAGCCGAGCCACAGAGAGAGGGAGCCGGAGGAGTATTCTTTATGAGACTGTTTCGTTTTTCGCTTAATCGCAACTAGAAAATCTCTAGAAAGAAGATGGCTTAGATGGTAGAAAAAAAAAAAAAAACGCGGCGAGCGTTCAACTTGAAAATATGCCAAAAGACAATTGGTTGTTCGGTTCTTCGGTTGTTTGGCTCTTCGGAACGCTCTAAGGGCACGGCCCAGTCACCAGTCTCCGCAGAGCGTCTTCTCAGCCAAAGTCTTCGTCTTCGTCTTCGGCGTTGTCTTCTTCAATGCCAAGCGAAGCGTGAACACTATTAGGAGGGCATGGTCCGGGGGGAAGCAGGTGGGCAGGCATTTATTAATAATTACCACACAGTGATGGGAAAGAGAGCGACTGCTTGGGAGGGGCGGGGGTTAAGAAAAAGAGTAGTACATAGTAGGAAATTTATTTGTTATTTATCTTTTTGGCATTATGCATGAATGGCAATAAAAAATACACGAACGTGTATATAGTTTTATTCAAAAAAAAAAAGAAATAAAAAGAGTAAGCCGGAGTTTGAGTCGTAGTTCGAGTATCATAAAAGCCAGTTCTCAGTTCCAAGTTCTCAGTTCTCAAGTGTACGAGAGTCTTCTCTGGTAGGGAGCGAGTTCGTTCGGTCAATAGATTTAGATCACTTTGCTGGTAAGGAGGCACAGACGGGGCCCCGGCACAAAGACTCATAAAAATAATGAGCTGGGCACGACGACGACGACGACTATGAGTGTGGCGATGGCGACAATCATGATGTAGATGATGTTGGTATGGCGATAGTGCGTAACGCGACAGTAAGGCACTTTAATATATACATATAAATATATATGAAAAGTCAGTACTATGGCTATACATTTAAAAATGAGGAAATATATAACTTAGAATCAGTTTTTTCAACAATTCAACAACAAATTCAAAGATTTCTTGCTGAACTCAACAAAAAGGCAAAGAATGGAGAGAGAATAGAAATAAAAAGAAAAACAGAGACGGTTAGGCACAGAAAAGTATTATTGGTGAAATATATCTCTAAAATGTTCAACACCAACAACAAGTTTTCAACAACAAATGGATTTTGAAATGGATAAAAATAGTAAGACATTGGAATATATTTCTTATTATTTCAACAATAATTATTAATTCATAGAAAAAGTTCCTTGCTGGAATATATCCTTAACATTTTCAACAACAAAAAGAACTTTTTAACAACAAATGGGATATGGAAAATAATAGTAAGACATTAGGATATATTTCTTGTATTTTCAACAATAGTTATAAAATGTATAGAAATTAGTTTACTGTGGGAATAAGTCTCTAACATTTTCAACAACAACAACAACTTTTTAACAACAAATGGAATTTGATATGGAAAAATATATATATGAAAAAATAGTAAAACATTGTTGTGATATATATTTCCAATTTCTTTTCAACAACAAATAAGTAAAAAACAGAACAAAATATAAATACAGAGGAAGAGAGCATAGCACTTTTCCTCGTCCAAAAGAAAAACCTAGAACTTTACACTCATAAAAACCGTGATCTCTAGGAATCACATATCCAAAAACCCAGCCAGATAGGGCCAGTCTCCAATTCAGATTTTGATTGTGATTACGATTGCGATGATGATGTATACTTGTCTCGACTCCTAAACGATGCTAATCTTATTGACTTTCGTAACTGCCCCCAACCACATGTCAGTCCCTCCGCCAGCAGAGCTTCCACTTGTAGTACTTCTCCTTATCGTTGGCAAACAATGAAATAATTTCTGATTCCGAAATGTGAAGTGCTATTATTGTTTAGCCATTCCGCCTTATTTACCCAACTATTTTTGTGTGTGTGTCGTTGTGGCAGTTCCCCCACGAAAATATATATATAGAGAGGGAAGAGGGAGGAACCGAAACCCAAACCAAAAAACGAAATCACAAATTATTCTTGGAAAATTGGCCTCATGGCTTTGGCATGCTGCGGTTTAGCTGATGAAACCCAAGCTGCAAGCTGGAACTGAACCCAGTTTTTCTTCTCGCTTCGTATCTTATCTGAAGAAAAATAGAAGACCAAATAAACCCCGAAGAACGCGCCTGATGATAAGTTCCAAAAACAAATGGATTTCGCTGGAGATGGATATGGCAGAGAGAGAGAGAGAGAAGAGAGAGGCTTATCAGGGAACCCAGAACCCAGGTTTGTGTGTGCACAACCACCTCCCCCTGACTCTGTGTGTGAGTGTGTACTTTGGGATCGCATTGTTTCGTTGCCGGAAAACTATTTTTTTTTAGTATTTGCACAAGATCAACAGGTGCCATTGCCGAGCGACAGCGTCAGCATCCCGAAAAATAAAAATGGTGAAAAAATGGGAGCGATATGAGGCAATCATCTGTGGATTTAT